TCAAACTTCACTAAGGGTAAGCATTCTCCCTTGGGGTGGTCCCTCCGTCGGATGATGAGTCTCTATCATTCCATTCTCTCTTACACCTCGATATGTCGGCAAGGTAGCTGCACTAGGACTCACCCTGGTGGACGTACCGATTCTGATCCATCGTTCAACCACTCCAGGGGCATTATAAGATTCGGCCAACCGAGATTTCTTAACCACTTCACCAACACCTTCAAACGTTGCGGCACGCTGACGGGGAGGCATCGCAACTTCTGCTACAACAACACGATTACGAAAAGAAAAGCAACAAACAAGACCAGAAAGCAACACACAGCTCACCGCGCAACCTAAATTCCTAAGCCTAATACTTAGCTTCTTAAGGTTGCTTAGAGGTCTCAAGACACACTTAACCACTTAGAAAGTCTAGACTTAACTCTTCCTAGGCTAAAAACCTAGGCTCTGATACCAACTGTAACACCCCCCAAAACAAGCTATAGAAAAGCCTTAACGCATGCAGATATCAAAACAAAACATTAACACAGCGGAAGAAAAGATAACTGGATAACAAAGAATCCAACGGGGTTGTTATGCCACGCATATCAACACGATAAACGCTACGGCCAAAAATCTGCATGGTCAACATCTATCCAAGAGTACATAAGTCTAAAAACAACCAAACCGGCTCACAGGCCGTACAACAAGGGAAAGGTACTACTCTATCGGGCACTAGACATCGCGCTCGACTAGACATCACCTGTAGAAACACAAAGATAAACATGGGACGACGCCCGGTCAGCGAATAATGCTGGTAACCCACCAATACCGTTAAGTATCATACATAGATATGGTATAAATATACAAAAATCATTTTCAAAACGGAATACATATATATATAAGTTCAAAACCAAGAGAAGTTGTTAACAAAAGACTCAACACTCTCAACGAACAACACGGGAACTCATCTCAAGACCACAAGAACAACATGACTCACAAAAGAGTCAAGGCACGATCTATCATCACTCAATAGACCGCAACCCGACAAGTACAACGCGAAAGAACAAGACACAGTCAACCGACAATACATGCCAAGGCCACACCTGCCTTTGTGACTACACACGTCACAAGATAGGATCACACAACACTGGCTACAATAGCCCTCGCGACATCACCCATCACGAGTTGGTATGCCTGCCTTATGCCCTGTTCCAACCTTATGGCTACCCCCAACCTTGTATCTTCTTTCCAACCATTACCTCTAGGACCCCTGTACTTCTTAGTCCAACCTTTTACCTCCGGGACCGTGGTTGTAACTCCCCGAAATTTTTAAACTTTTAAAGACTTATATAATAAAGGTATTCTCTTATTAATTCCCAAACAGAGCATTACTAAACATAAGAGTATGGGGTGCTATGCCACACCTGAGCTGGAGAACTCAGATGCACAGGCTAACTAACTAAATTCCTTAATAATGTCAATACATAAGCATGGCACGCAGGCCGAAAGGGAAACTATCTACTCTACACTTCGAATCTCTAGCGCGCTCCAGTGACTACTCATCTGTGCCTGAAAGCCAAATATATCTGTTCAGCGAGAGATGCTGGTAACCCACTCCAACGCGTTTAAATACATTATATATAGATATAGAAAAAACCAATTTGAAGCATGAAGATATATCCTAGGAAACTCTAGCTTAAAAACAGGGGATAGACTCGACAGATAGGGATAAGCACAGCCAACAGTTATAACCAAGCATATACAATTTACTAGCATATATCCTATGGTCACGATTTCACTTCATATCATTCATAACATCAATCAATCCGTATCTCATCACACAAACACACTTTGATGGCGCCACAGGACCGATCGCATGCCCATACATGAGGGTCAGCGCATATAGCTCTAACACGGCCCCGCAGCACCCTGCCTCGTATCGCAACACGAAGGGGTCGATCGCAACCGACCGATGAACCGCAGCTCATCATAATGTTTGATCGCAACCAAACAGTGGACCGCAGCCCAAGAGTAGTCATCTGACCGCAGCCAGGAATATGAACCACAGCTCATGTAAAACGTTTGATCGCAACCAAACGGTGGACCGCAGCCTGAGAGTGTAAATCTGATCGCAGCCAGCTTTTGAACCGCAGCTCAGGAATAACCAATTTGATCGCAACCAAATTGGGGTATCATGCACACAAAACACAAAGCAAGCACATGCAACCCACATTGACACATTGGGAAGGGGGAGAAATCGCATAACGAAACCTATGCGTGGTCATCCACATACTAGGAATAATCCTAAGGGGTTCATACTTCTTTCACCTAGGCCAACGGGATACCAATTCAACTAGCATGCGATACATAAGACTTATTTAACCTACGAATGGCACCCGAAACATCAAACTAGACATAGGCACGATAGACGGAGTCCGTTGGGACGCCACGGGGGTCGAGGGAACATCAAACGGGGAAGCCGGGATCCCGAGGAGGGATAATTTCCAGTGGGTAGCCGGTGGGTGAAGGGTCACTCGCCGGCCACCCGCCGGCGACGAGCTTCCGGGCAGCGGGTGCCCAACGGGCAGTTGGTTGCTGGCGGCGTTAATTCCGGCCGCGGGTCCCCTACCCCCCACTGACTCTTTTTCACAATAAATGCTCCGGGATCCTTTGTGGAACCCGAAACCATGCTTAGACACCTTTAAACGCAATTGATGACAACACGTAGACAATTAACGGATCAAAAGCAAGAATCATACGGCACGTATCCTATCATAATTTCTAAACCAAGAACAACACCCGAGCATGCGAATTCCCACCCAATACAACAAGAATAACACCATACAAATTTTACGATACATCCTAGGGCTCTAATCATATTTAAATCAACAAGAACATAGCTCATCTTTTAATATCAAGAAGCATCAAGATTCATCAAGAATACCACACAATCATCAAGAATCCCTTATCATCATCAAGATTATCAAGATCACACATAAAATCATATCACCAATTATCAAGATCATATCATCAATAACATAAACGATTCATCAAGACACAAGAATATAGGGGGATGCCTAAGAGGGAGATCATAACAAAGAAAATAGTTTTTGTTCAGACATGGGTTACCTCTTAGCCTTAATTAATTCCTTGGCTATGAAGGGTCTTTCTTTAAGCTTTCTTCTTTGTTGATTTCTCCTAAGGGAATTCTTGGAACTTCTTGTGTGGTGAGAGATTATTGTGGTGTGACTTCTAGGTGGCTCCTATGTCCTTATATATATATATATATATATATATTTGGGAGTCCTAATTAGGGTCTGAATGGTATGGGTTTACTAATTCTATTCCTTATAGGATTAAGGACTTGTTTTAGGGATAGGGGTCCATGGTCCATGGTGGACCATATTAATTAATTAAAGAGAATCCTAACCATGATTTAAATAGTAAAGGTATACTTTCTTTATTCCTAATAGGCTTATGACTCTAGTTTAGGCAAGGGTCCACGATCCGTGGTGGACCACATTAATTAATTAAAGGGATTTCTAATCAAATTAAATCCTTTTTAATTATTATTAATTGAATTAATTAAATAATTAATTCAGGATTAAGGGCCGTAACACGAGGTGTTACAGTCATCCCCCACAAACAAGCCACCAACAAAGCCACCAAATTCAAAATACACAAGGTACCGTACACACGCCTTCCCAAGAAAATACGTGAACCTGACACACAGGTCACAACTCCATAATCACGTCACGGCCACCACGAGGACCACTGCAATACCTTGGTGACTAGTGTCCCATACCACTAATCGTGCAATCCAGGTAAAGCCACACACGAATTACACCTCAACAAGAGTCAATCAATGGATCACAACGAAGGTATGAAACATACTCAATCAAGGAATGGGTCACAGCCCAACAACAGCAACGATGAATAACACAAGTTATCATCAACCAAACGGAAGGTACAAACAACACACATGCTAGCATTTAGACACCAAACTAGCATGCTTATCAACGGGGAAACCAAAGATAGTTCCGCGGAACACACAAGACACTTCACGGTCCAACGAAACATAATGTTGAACACTTAGCACGATTCAAGACACCAAAGTCCTACATGGATACCTACCATATAGTTCTAGACATACGAAACATCAAGAAGACACTCAAATAGTTCCACAAAAGAACATCGGGAAGTCAAAAGACCGAATACCGAGTCAAAAGAATCACGGGGAACAAATCCCATCACAATACCACTGTGTTCCCCGCGGGTAGACCCACGGGTAGTGCCCCACCCGTGGTTCCGCCCGCGGGAACACCTTCCCACAAGGCCATGTACCCGCGGGTATGCCGGGGGGTGGTGCCCAGCCCGCGGGTACACACTTGTACCACAACAAATCCCTTCGGGGATTTTCTTCTCCAAGCCCAAATTCAAGTCCAAAAATGCCAAATCTCACCCAACACAACAAAATGACTTGAATCATGGAAAATGCCAAGCAATGGCACAAAGGAACCCTAAACACAAGCTCTAGATATGCATTTTCACAAGACAAATGCATAAACCCTCACATTTCATAGCAAAGCACAAATAGAATCCAAGAAATCACATATAGGTAAGCAAAATAGATTTTGTAGAGCATGGGTTACCTCTTGTAGACCAAAAGACTTCACTTTACACCTCAACAAGCTCCTTACAAGGCTTACTTTCCAAACCCACTTCAAGATCAAACCAAAAGATCATAAAGATCCTACCTTTAAGAAAAAGACAACTAAGATGGAACCAAAAAGACAAGATGGACTTAGATTTTACCCTCCTAGATGCCCAAATAGGTGAAAGGTTGAATCTTGGAAGCAAAACTTGGAATCTTGAAAAGGGTCTCAACTTAGCTTGGAGAATAAGCTACACTTCTTTCTAGAGAGAAGGTAGAGCTAATTTCTAGGAAATGTAAGGAATGAAATGAAGAAGTCTTCTAGGTTAGGTTACAATACTAACTCTTGGTGAAAAGTCAAGAATACCCTTACTAACCTTTAGAAAGTGTAAGGAACAAGGGAACTCCCCTCAAAGCCCAAGGTACAACACAACTTTAAGATTGACTAGTCAAATACTAGTCCTTGAGTATTAAAAATCAGGATTTTAGGAATTAATTCCTCAAATGAAATAGGATTAATTGCTCAATTAATCCATGGATTGAATGTGGACTTTTGGGGTGTCACAGTATGAACCCTTAGGACTATTCTTAGTATTTCTATGATCACACGTAAGTTTATTTATATGTCTTTCCCCTCCCAATGTGCTACTACGTGCTCCGATGTGTTATGTGTTGCATGATCCCCCATTTTGGTTATAGGCCAATTGGGAGGTTCCCGGACTAAGGTTCGGAAGTCGGCTGAAGGCCGAATGATTTGATCCCGGGCTAAGGTTCGGAAGTCGATTGAAGACCGAATGGATTGTTCCCGGACTAAAGGTTCGGAAGTGGGTGAAGGCCAATGGATTGTTCCTGAGCTAAGGCTCAAAAGTTGCTAAGGCCAAATTGATACACTTCTTGGGCTACGGTCCAACTATGGGCCTCGGTGCTATGACCCACCAAACTGAATGCGCCAGGCGGTGTGTAGGGCCAATAAGCCGAGGAAGGCTGTAGTCCACCGACCTGAGTAATCAGGCGGTGTGTAGGGCTACGGCTGGCTGCGATCCACCGAATGATGGGACAGCGGTGTGTAGGGCCATAGTCTCCGAAGATCTTCGCCCACCGACTGAGTATAGCTCAGCGGTAAGCCGGGCTTGATCCGCTATGGTCCACCGACCATCGATGGTGTGTAGGGTCGTAAGTCCCCCCTTGTAAAGGGGATCACGGTCCACCGACTGGGTGCGTTAGCTGTAACACCCCGAAATTTTGGAACTTTTAAAACTTATATAATAAAGATGAATCCTCATTAAATCCTAAAATATAATATAAGAGTATGGGGTGTTATGCCACACCTGAGCTAAAGAACCCAGGTGCACAGGCAAACTAACTAAAATCCTCAATGATGTCAATACATAAGCATGGCACGCAAGCCAAAAGGGAAACTAACTACTCTACGCTCCAAATCTATAGCGCGCTCTAGTGTCTACTCATCTGTGCCTAAAAGCCAAATATATCTGTTCAGCGAGAGATGCTGGTAACCCACTCCAACGTGTTGAAATACAATATAGGTATATATATATATATATATATATATATATATATATATATATATATATATATATATATATATAGATATAGGAAAAACCATTTTGAAGCAAGAAGATATATACGTACGAGACTCTAGCTTTTAGAACCGGGAATAGACTCAACAAGTAGGGACAAACACATCAAGCAGTATTAGATAGTCAGGTAGAGATAGTCATCATAAAGAATACGCATCCAAGGTCACAGTTCACTTTCCAATTCCATCACATCATCATTCATTCAACATTCATAGCACATAATCGTTGATGGCGCCACCGGACCAATCGCATGCCCCGAACATGAGGGTTAATGCTTATAGCATTAACACGGCCCCGCAGCACACTACCGCAGTACCGCGGTATGAGGGGAGTTGATCGCAACCAACCCTTTGAGAACCACTGACGAACTCAACGTCGGACCACGTTCCGACACAACGCTGACGCACCCAGTCGGTGGATCGCAGTCCCCTTTACAAGGGGGTCTTACGACCCTACATACCGCGAATGGGTACATCCGGTGGACGATAGCGGATCAAGCCCGACACACCGCTGAGCTATACTCACTCGGTGGGCGAAGATCCTCGGAGACTATGGCCCTACACACCGCCTTGCCATCACCCGATGGGTCGCAGCCAGCCGTAGCCCTACACACCGCCTGATTACTCAGATCGGTGGACTACAGCCTTCCTCAGCTTATTGGCCCTACACACCGCCCTGGCGCGTTCAGGTCGGTGGGTCATAGCACCGAGGCCCATGTGGACCGCAGCCCAAGAAGTGAATCACTGACCGCAGCCAGGAGAATGAACCACAGCTCATAAGTAACAAATTTGACCGCAGCCAACTTCTGAACCGCAGTTCAGGAACACCCAATTTGATCACAACCAGATTGGGGACTCATGCAGCACATAACACATACTAGCACGTAGTAGCACGTTGGGAAGGGAAAGACATATAAATAAACCTATGTGTGATCCTACACATACTAAGAATAGTCCTAAGGGTTCATACAACTTCCACCTAGGTCAACGGGTTACCAATTCAACTAGCATGCAATTCCTAAGACTCATTCAACCTACGAATGGTAACCGAAATATCAAACTAGACTCGAGCACGACAAACGGGGTCCGTTGGGACACCATGGGGAGTAGGGAACATCAAACGGGGAAGCCAAAGACCCAGGGTGGGGTACGGACCAGCGGGTAGCCGGTGGGTGGGGGTCACCCGCCGGCTGCCCGTCGGAAATCACTGTTCTGGCAGCGGGTTGCCGGCGGGCAGGCGACTGCCCGGCGGCTACCCGCTGCCCAGCAGTGATTTCTGGGCAGCGGGTAGGTGGCGGGTTCCCCTACCCCCACCTACCCCCACTGACTCATTTACCATAATTCGTCCCGGGAACCTTCGTGGAACCCGAAACCATGCTTAGACGCTTTAAGACGTAATTAACGACACCCCGTAGGCAATTAATGGATCAAAAGCAAGAATCATGTAGGACTTATCCTAATACGACTTCTAAATATAAATAACACCCGAACATGCGAATTCCCGCCCAAATATAAGTCAAGAACATCACAATACAAATTCCCAATCCAACCTAGGGCTCTAATCCCACCCAAATCTTCAAGAACATGTTTTATCTTTCACATCAAGAACTATCAAGATTCGTCAAGAATCATCACATCAAAATCGGGACCTTCTTTTCAACATCTAGATCATCAAGATCATCAAGTAAGCATATAAAATCATCTTATCAATCATCAAGAACATAACACAATTATCGTAGAAGAATTCATCAAGACACAAGGATAGAGAGGGAGACCAAAGAAGGAGATCATAGCGAAGAAAATAGCTTTTATTGTGACTTGGGTTACCTTTTAGCCTTAATTAATTTCCTTGGCTATGAAGGGTCTTTCTTTAAGCTTTCCTTCTATCTTGATTTCTCCTAAGGGGATTCTTGGAACTTCTTGTGTGATGAGAGATTATTGTGGTGTAAGATCTAGGTGCCTCCTATGACCCTATATATATATATATATATATATATATATATATATATATATATATAGTTCTAGTTGGGGTCTAAATGGTATGGGTTATTTACTCTTATTTCCTATAGAATTAGGGGATTGGCTCTAGAGATAGGGTTCATAGCTTATGGTGTGTCTTTCCCATTTAACTATTCAAATTTAATTCTTTCTTTTTAGGTAATTGATTTAAATAGTTAGGGGTCGTAACACGGGGTGTTACACACTCCCCACTTAACGAGAAGCTTCGTCCCCGAAGCTTTGGCTCCGTTGTGTTGACTCATTTTCTTATCTCATGCTTTCGTCTTGGTTACCTTGCGCGAAGAGCTCGGCGTAGCGTTCCTTTATTGTGTCCTTGAGTTCCCATGTGGCTCTTCGGCCCCGTGGTTGGTCCAGAGGACTTTCACCATTTCTATGGTTCGTCGACGAGTGATCCTGGCCTTGGTGTCCAGGATTCTTACTAGTCTTTCTTCGTAAGTTAGGGTGTCGTCCAGGTCCACCGCCTCGGGTTGTAGTACGTGGATCGGATCATGTATTTATTTCTGTAGTTGTGATATGTGGAATACGTTGTGTACTCGTTCTAGTTCAATGGGTAAGGTGAGGCGGTAAGCTAGGTTCCCGACAATTTTCGTGATTTCGTAGGGGTCGATGAACCGGGGGCTGAGCTTCCTGTGACACCCCAAAAATCCACATTCAATCCATGGATTAATTGAGTAATTAATCCTATTTTTATTTGAGGAATTGATTCTTAAAATCATGATTTTTAATACTCAAGGACTAGTATTTGACTAGTCAATCTTTAATGTGTTGTACCTTGAGCTTTGAGAGGAGTTCCCTTGTTCCTTACACTTTCTAAAGCTTAGTAAGGGTTTTCTTGACTTTTCACCAAGAGTTAGTATTGTAACCTAACCTAGAAGACTTCTTCATTTCATTCCTTACAATTCCTAGAAAATTTCTCTATCTTCTCTCTACAAAAGAGGTGTAGCTTATTCTCCAAGCTAAGTTGAGACCCTTGTCAAGATTTCAAGTTTTGCTTCCAAGATTCAACCTTTCACCTATTTGGGCATCTAGGAGGGTAAGATCTAAGTTTATCTTGTCTTTTTGGTTTCGTCCTTGTTGTCTTTTTTCTTAAAGGTAGGATCTTTATGATCTTTTGGTTTGATCTTGAAGTGGGTTTGAGAAGTAAGCCTTCTAAGAAGCTTGTTGGGGGTAAAGTGAAGTCTTTTGGTCTACAAGAGGTAACCCATGCTCTACTAAAACCTATTTTGCTTACCTATATGTGATTTCTTGGATTCTACTTGTTCTTTGCTATGAAATGTGAGGGTTTATGCATTTGTCTTGTGATATTGCATATCTAGAGCTTGTGTTTAGGGTTCCCTTGTGCCATTGCTTGGCATTTTCCATGGTTCAAGTCATTTTGTTGTGTTGGGTGAGATTTGGCATGTTTTGGACTTGAATTTGTGTTTGGAGAAGAAAATCCCCGAAAGGATTTGTTCTGAAACAGGAGTGTTCCCGCGGGAGGAACAGCGGGCGGGGCACCACCCGCCGGCCTACCCGCGAGTACACAGCCTCGTGGGAAAGTGTTCCCGCGGGCAGAACCACGGGTGGGGCATGTAACACCCCGTGTTACGACCTTTAATCTTGGATTAATTATTTAATTAATCCCGCTAATAATAATTAAATATGATTAATTAAGTTAAGTTCCCCTTTAATTAATTAATGGGGTCCACCATGAACCGTAGACCCTTGCCTAAATTAGAGGCTTAAGTCTATTAGGAATAAAGATAGTAAACCTTTTACCAT